GGTTCGTATCCGAGAGGGAGATGAGTGGAAGACAGCATTCAGCACAACCACGGGGCATTATGAATACCTGGTGATGCCCTATGGTTTGATGAATGCTCCCTCAGTTTTCCAGTCCTTTGTGAACGAGGTGTTTTGGGACATGCTTGGTCGCGGTGTAGTGGTCTACATCGATGACATCTTGGTGTATTCCGCTACGCACGCTGAGCATGTTTCCCTGGTTCGCAAGGTGCTGGCCCGACTGTTGGAAAATGACCTTTATGCTAATGCAGAGAAGTGTATGTATTTCCAGCAGTCCGTCTCCTTCCTTGGATACCGCATTTCCACCTCAGGTGTGGAGATGGAGGGAGATCGCATTTCAGCTGTGCGTAATTGGCCGACTCCAACCACGGTTAAGGCGGTGCAGCTTCCTTGGCTTTGCCAACTACTATCGGAGGTTTAGCCGGGGCTTTGGCAAGGTCGCAGCTCCCATTACCTCCCTGTTGAAAGGTGGGCCTTCCCGGCTCTGTTGGTCTGCTGAGGCTGACCTGGCCTTCAGCAAACTACGGGGTCTGTTCACCTCAGCCCCAGTACTGGCCCACCCCGATTCATCACTACCGTTTGTAGTGGAGGTGGATGCTTCCGAAGTTGGGATAGGAGCTGTCCTGTCTCAACGCTCGGGTACGCCACCTATGCTCCGCCCCTGTGCGTTCTTCTCGAAGAAGCTCAGCCCGGCGGAGCAGAACTACGACGTTGGTGATCGGGAGCTGTTGGCTGTTGTCCGAGCCTTGACCGTGTGGAGGCATTTGCTCGAGGGGGCGAAACACCCTTTTCTCGTCTGGACGGACCACCATAAACTGGAGTACATCTGGGTAGCGAGGAGGCTGAATCCTCGCCAGGCCAGGTGGGCCCTATTCTTCACCCGGATTGATTTCACTCTATCATACATCCCGGGTACGAAGAATGGGAAGGCAGACGCACTGTCCCGGCTGTATGACACAGAGGAGAGGCCCAGCGACAACATCCCCATATTGCCGACCTCCTGCATTGTGGCGCCGGTAGTATGGATGCGGATATAGAGCAGGCATTACGCACGGATCCCTCTCCACCTCAGTGTCCAGATGGGCTACAGTACATGCCTGCTCTTATCCGTGATCGTCTGATCTACTGGGCACACACGTCACCCTCCTCTGGTCACCCAGGTATCGGCCGTACAGTGCGTTGCCTGACCGGAAAATACTGGTGGCCTACCTTGGCTAAGGACGTAAGGGTGTACGTCTCCTCCTGCTCGGTGTGCGCCCAGAGTAAGGCACCTAGGCACCTCCCAGCGGGTAAATTACAACCGACCATGGTCTCACCTAAGTGTTGATTTTCTAACTGATCTTCCCCTCTCCCAAGGTAACACCACCATCCTGGTCATTGTGGACTGCTTTTCTAAAGCATGCCGCCTCCTTCCTCTGCCCGGTCTTCCCACGGCTCTGCAAACTGCGGAGGCCCTGTTTACACACGTCATCCGGCCCTACGGGGTACCAGAGGATAGTGTCTGACCGAGGTCCCCAGTTCACATCCAAGGTCTGGAAGGCGTTCATGTAACGTCTGGGGGTCTCGGTCAGCCTGACTTCTGGGTTCCACCCCGAGAGTAATGGGCAGGTGGAATGGGTAAATCAGGACGTGGGTAGGTTCCTGTCGTCCTACTGCCAGGACCGGCCGGCAGAGTGGTCGGTGTTCTTGCCATGGGCAGAATATGCCCAGAAGTCTCTCCGCCACTCCTCCGCTAACCTAACGTCTTTCGAGTGTGTTCTAGGTTACCAACCGGTTCTGGCACCGTGGCACCAGAGCCAGACCGAGGCTCCTGCGGTGGATGACTAGTTTCAGCGCGCGGAGGAGACGTGGTATGCTGCCCACGTTCACCTCCAACGCACTGTGCGTCGTCAGAAGGCCAATGCTGACCGCCACCGCAGTGAGGCCCCCGTCTTTGTACCGGAGGATCGGGTCTGGCTCTCGACCCGGAATCTGCCCCTCCGCCTGCCCTGCCGGAAGCTGAGCCCGCAGTTTGTGGGGCCGTTCAAAGTCCTGAGGAGAGTCAACGAGGTCACTTATAGGTTATTACTTCCCCCTGATTACCGTATTAACCCTTCGTTTCATGTGTTTCTCCTCAGGCCGGTGGTAGCTGGTCCGCTCCAAAAGTCTGAGGTGCGGGAGGTCCCTCCACCTCCTCTGGACATCGAGGGGGCCCCGGCATACTCTGTCCGTTCCATCCTGGATTCGAGGCGTCGGGTGGGGGGCCTTCAGTACCTCGTGGAGTGGGAGGGGTACGGTCCGGAGGAACGGTGCTGGGTCCCGGTGAGGGTTATCCTCGATCCCTCCATGTTACGGGATTTCCACCGTCGCCATCCGGCTCGCCCTGCTCCGCATCCTCCTGGCCGTCCCCAAGGCCGGGGTCGGCGTGCTGCTGGATCCGCGCGTCAAGGGGGGGGGTCCGCCGAGGCTGCCTCCCCTCCTTGTTCGGGCAGGTTTCAGCGTTCGCCGTCACCGGCTTACTAGCTACTGCCGATCCATTTATCATCACTCCATTTGTATTGTCTTCAATCACACACACCTGGTCCTTATTCCCTCATTAGTCATTGTATAAGTGTTCCCTCTGCTTCCTTGTCTGTGTGGGTGATTGTTTATTGTGTAGGTTAGTGAAGCTCGGTGGAGCTCGTGTATTTTGTATCGACAGGAGTATTTTCCAGTGTGCCTGTTTTGTGCCCTGGAGTGTGTTTGATGCATTTCTGCGTAAACCTGTATTTTGCGGATTAAAGCCTGTTATTCTGTGATTTACCCTCCTGCGCCTGACTCCTTCAACACCACCTCATCACACCATTATTATTATTATTATTATTATTATTAATAATAATAATACGCATAACAATAACACAATATTTTAGTTCTAAGTGTTTATTATGATTTTAGTGGCAAAGCAGAATAATGTTCTCCGTATCCATAGCAGAATGATTTTGCAGTGCATGGTGATCGAACAGGTTTCCTGTTATATTCATCAGAGGTGTTGGGAGGGTGAAGTCTGTGAATCCAAAAGATTTGCAACATTGCAACTACTTAATACATTTTTTGCTACTTTGTAACTACTTAGCATGTAACCTTAACCCTTTAACCAAACCTTAACCCCTAACCCAGCCTAGCTAACGTTAGAATTAGCCACCTAGCTAATGTTAGCATTAGCCACCTAGCTAATGTTAGCCACAACAAATTGGAATTTGAATTCGTAACATATCCTATGTTTTGCAAATTAGTAAGATATTGTACGAATTTCAATTCGTAACATATTTTACGGATTGCAATTCGTAACATATCATAGGAATTGTAATTTGTAAAATATCATATGAAATGGATGATGGACATCCACAAATTAATACATACCATACGAAACATAACATATCACTCATACTAATATTTACTTTTACTATGTTAGGTCTACCCCTGAGTCCAGGTTGCAGCATCAAGTGACTCCAATTAATTTAATATGATGTTATTATATCAATATTTGCTCATAAAAGCGTTCCCATTTCCATTTCTCATATAATTAATTTTACCACACAAAAAGATCCCACCTTGTCTAGCATATTTTGTTTTGTCAACATTTGGAAAGTTTACGGACTTATTTCCATCAGGTCTGTCATTACAATTTTATCCGACATGTAGTCTTACTTTCCTCGCATAAAAACGACGGAAACCTTACCAATAAATATCAAAGGTCTTATTCCGTTACATCAATGCTTGGCTGCAAATAAAAAAATCTTGCTCTTTTGTCCATAATAATCGCATCATGTAGGCTATACCCGCACTGTGTCTACTATAGAGTCCACGTGCCAATACCAGAGTGGGCACACTTGCTATATAACTCAACATGTTTTTGTGAGAAAACCATCAGTAGAGTTGAAAATGCGATGGAAACCCATTTAACTTGTATTTTCTATTCAGTACATGGAAATTTAACTGCAAAATTTATTTTTATGTGCACTGAATCATCACCTACAGCCTTTATCCGCAACAAGTCAATTTGATGGAAACATCTCTGGTGGGAAAATGCGCATATTGTTTTTATGAGGATTTTTGAATACTCGCAAGAAAATCTGTCAATTGGATCGAAACCTAGCTAGTATAGTAGAATTATAATGACCATCTTCCATTAGTCCTTGTAAGGCCTACCGGTAGGCCTATTGACTGGAGGAGAGACAGGGATTGACTCAAATTGGAATGGAACCATTCAAAGACATAAAGGACTTGTGATTTAGGGTATTTTTTTATGTGATTAGAAAACACTACATGTGAATGTCCTAAGCCTAGCCCATTTCAGAGGAGGTGAATGTAATAATTTTTTTCTAAATCACGATTTCGTTTAAACAGTTTTCAATATTTTCCCTGATTTGGGCAATATACCTATATAACATATTAGGTTTATGTCATGTGACACAACAGATTAATGTGAAGTTTCATAATAATCTTAATTGAATAACATTATTTATATGCACTGTACGGTTTTTAGGCGTGTAACTTGCTGTTTTCATCTTCGACAGATACTGTTAATACTGTTTGACTGCAGAGCCCAATGATTTATTAACATGGATCCCTGCTATCAGGGTGTAAAAAAAACTTGACTTGATTTCATTCATATGGGCAGTGACATATTGATATTTTGGACAAACCCGTGATGTGTATGTGTGTGTGTGTGTGTGTGTGTGTGTGAGAGAGAGAGAGAGAGAGAGTGAGAGAGAGAGAGAGAGAGAGAGAGAGAGAGAGAGTGTGTTCGTGCTCGTGCATCCGTGCTCGTGCGTCCGTGTGCCTCAACTTTGGCTCGTGAGCTCTCATTACGCGTTTGTTTGAGAGGGTTTGGTGGAGGGAGAAGAATATATATAAATATCTTCTCGCCAAGCGGTAGGTTTGTTTTAATTGACACTCACTAGGACTACAAGAAACAAGGAACAACCCCCATCTACCCGCAGAATCTCTGCCATCCTCTCCTCCTCCTCTCCTCTCCTCTCCTCTCTTCTACGGGCCAGCAACCCTCTCAACGCAAGGTTGGTTTCTATACCAGGACAGCGCATTATCAGCTGAAGGTAACCTCAACTTTCACCTGAAATACACATTTTCACACAATTATTCGATGTGCTATACATTATATGCACATGGTTGCTATTTTCCGAGGCGCGTGTGCAAAGGTGGTGCGTGGGTGCAAGCTATAAGACTTTGCATTAATAATGACGGATATAGTGAGCCGTGTAACTGAGCTTTGAGATGGGATAGCCTATGTGGAAGGATTGGCGATATTTATTTCATTCACAAGGAAACAAAAGTCAGCATTGAGCCGCCCGTGGTATAGTTCAAATATAGCTATCTTATCTGTCATTGTTTTGAGTACAGTATGTTCATGGTCAACATTTTGTTTGAAAGAAATCAAGGTTGAAATTGAGAAGAAGCTGCGCAGTACAGTGAACTGCATGATTATCAGCAAAGCCTCAGCAAAATACTGAAAAGGCACGAGAGGGAAAACAGACTAAAAAGGAATTCATTGTAGCCTAAATGTGTTGCCAATTCTCAAATGTCATGATAAATAGTATTCTAGAGCTACCCAAATAATAGTAAAATAAGGAGGAATTCTGACAGGAATGGAAATACTTTTGTTGGCTCCTATATTTCATTTTAGTTATTTTATTCCTCACGAGACAAAAACCTGGCATGGTTAAGAACAATGCAGAGATGAATTCACCCAAAATATAAAAGCCAACTCGTTTAAAGACCAATACATTATTTTCGTAAGAGGATCATAATATGTGTCGGAGTCATCATTATTGGCAATAGGCTCTAAACTGCATCATCAATGGGCATTTCTTTTACAAATCAAATAGCAGATAATTACGCATGTATATAGGCTAATCAAGAACCTGTTATAGGCCTATAGACTTGTGAAATAGGCCTACCTATAAACTAAGAGGGGATAACGTTAAATATCGATCTAAGTTTAAAAAACGAAATAGGTTGATTTCCATTTCAGAGAGATGAACACAGGGAGAGCTCGTGCATGCTCTGACGCATTTTAATCCTTTTTCACTTGGATGAAATGTCATGGCTGGAGGCAAGGGAGACACGCATCTAGGGGCTATATAACATTTTCTATTCCGTCTGAAGAGGCACAATTCAATAATAACAATAACATGGATCATTTTAGTTTCTGAAATAAATAAGTAACAACAGCTATAGCCTACATTTTGTATAAGCGTTTTTAAATAAGGTGGGCCACTTCTGTGTTTTCTATCCTCTTTTAGGAACGCATAATAAACACTTCAATTAAATGTCACCCTGAACTGCACGTTTTCCATTTTAGGTTTTCTTTGTCCAAGTGAAATTAATCCTGAGTGCCTTTTTTTTTTTTTACTTCAGTGGTATGAAACTGACAGAGCGCGAATTAGCTCCGCTGCTGCTATATAGCACATCCACCTCCTTTAAAGTTTAGACATTTCCGCGCCGTGTTATCTAGGGGGGCCCAATTAAACACACGACTTCTGATCCCCGGGACAAAATGGAAATGTAACAGGTCTTAAAATGATTGGTGTTGGCGTGAGGAAGCGCACCTGCAACTTCATGGAGCTTTGGGAAGTCTAATGGTCCGGACTGTAAGGAGAGTTATCTTTTGTCCTCTGACACAAAACCTTTAATTATCCCAAACGCGTTTTATTGTCTGTCAGGCCTCGGCCGGGGCCGTAGGGACAAAACAATACACATTCGTTATAGATCATATAAATTACTTCTTCAACAACATGGAATCCAAACAATAAATATATTTTATGGAATTCAATATATTGGATTAAGGTACACAATTTAAATGGAAAAACTAAGAAAAAACCGATTTAGCCAATATCATGGGTGTGTGTTGTCACACATTTGAGAGAGAAGCCTGTCTGTCAGTGTAAGGCGATAGTTTGAATACAGAATGTTTAATTGGAGAGACGAGGGACATGCTAATGAAGAGTCAGCGGCGGATAATTAGTTTACATTGAGTATAGGTTACTGTTTAATTGAGAGAGCATTGATCTGGCTTTAAAAGCAGTAATTAGGGCCTACATTACTTACACAGAATGCAGCCTGCCACTGACACTTCAACACATGCAGCTATATAACTCGAAAATTAATATACGCTAATGTCTTCTTAATTGGGATAGGCCTGATATATTATGTTGGTTATCAGAAAAAGAGAAAAGGGCCTGGCATTTGGCATTTGTTCGTTTTAGAATGGGCGTATGTTTTTGCCATGCACTATTTGAGGCATATTTATTGTATATAGGCTTAATATTATTTTGCAGGCCTACTTGTGTTTTGTAGGCTATGTTGGCTATGACACACACACACACACACACACACACACACACACACACACACACACACACACACACACACACACACACACACACACACACATACAACTTGTAATCTATAGTATTAATTTATCAGAATAGGGGTAAATTAGGCCTATGTATGTTTTACCAATACAACTAATATTACAAAAATTATTAAATTAAATATTGTAAACATGTTAAAGCCTTACTTCGTTATTAGGCCTACACAGCATGCTCACAGGTAAATGACTATCACGTTTAAAAAATGCACGGCGGCAAAACATACATGACGAGGAAAGATATAACCCTCACACGACTGTTTCACTTATGACGTGCCTTTCCACTAGACCTTTCACATAAAGTTATCGAATCAAATTCAACAAGTGAGACTACTGAAACTCCATAATACATTTTATACAGATTAAAATGTTTTCAAATTACAATTCAATATCCAGGTCTTATCCTTCTAATTCAATCACAAGAGATTATGCAAATGTCACTAAACCGTATCGTGTCTTTAAGCAGCGATTTAGTCTCTACTAATGTCGTCTGGTAACTAAAACCTATAGAAAAGAAAAGTAATGAAAATGTCAATACCCAAAGTGTCTCTCTCCACGCTCTCGCAGCCAGCACGCACGGCGGGTTTGAGGGGAGAGTGACAGCTCTTTGTTGGTGAATAGAAATCAGTGGCATAGAGAGAGGGGGCGGCGACTCCTACCAAATTATCCAAACTGGGCAGACTTTTGCTCCCTTCACAAATAGGACACCGCTCTCCAACTCAGGCAGTCCCAATCTGACCTTCAAGCACACGGAACCCTATAACGGGAGATCGTTGTGGGACTATCGAGAGAAAAACACCCTAATCTAATCTTCTGCAATTTTAAACGTCCATCACCACCATCATCATTAGGTCATATACTGGCCACCGCCGGATCAGCTGGACTATACTTATTTTTTTGGCTATAAAACATTCAGGGGAGAGGAAAATAATTTATTCCTGCCTTGATTTCTCCCTGTCCCTCATCTCTCCACCACTTGCAGTGAAGGTGAGCTGAGCTGAGTGTGTCTCTTGTTTGTGTGTGTGTGCCTGTCTAACAGCAGAGCCAGTCGGATGCTCTGAGCCTACTGGACGCAGAGCTGTATATGGAAGTTGTGGGCTGCAAGGCAGAAGCGAGCAGTTGCACATTGCGTCGTTCAGGAGCGGGAGCCATGCTGTTCCACGGGATCTCCGGTGACCACATCCAAGGCATCATGGAGGAGATGGAGAGGAGATCCAAAACCGACTCGCGCCTGGCCAAGGGCGTGCAGCTCAACGGAAGGGAATCGGTAAGAAAAATGAACTAAATGCAATGTTTTCTTTTCTTTTCTGACATCCATGAAGATTAACACTTAAATCCGAATGGGCAAAACTGTTTAAACGCAAGGAAATGCTTTAGGAAGCTGTAGTTGGGCTAAAATAGCTGCAAGAAATAATCACTCAAAAGAAAATGTTGGGGTTAATATTGCGTTTACAGGTTCCTATGGACATGCAGCCTATTGTATGTGGACATTTTCGTATGTAATAAAAATACATTCAGTTATAAACTAAACTAAGTGAACGTGCATAAAGTAAAAGTGACAATTATTACGCACAATTTGGCAATTTGTTACACAATTTCTATTTTGAGCAAATAACACATTGCTGTTGTTATTGTTTATTTATATAATATATAGGCCTAATTAAACAGTTTTTACAGAGATAATAGACCTATATCAGTTTGGATATTATTAGCATCTACATAATAATTTATTAGAGGCCTACATAACTCTTGTTATTATTATTATTATTATTATTATTATTATTATTATTGTTAATTGTTGTTCTTGTGGCAGTAATGCTAAATTATAGACGTGTGAAATTAGGAGAATATAGCGCACCAGGCTGTCAATGCAGCTTATTTTAAATGCACAATGAAGCGTAATTAATTATTCTTTGTCATTGTAATACATTTATGTATACAGGCTCCATTTGTTAGATAAGTTGAACGCTGTTACTCCCTAAACACAACCGGCCCTGCATGTTGACACATTTTCAGCTCCGCAGGAATTTCCTGGGATTTGCTTTAAAACCGAACTGTCATATATAGGCTACTTAAGAAAGTCTAACGATCGTTCTACTATTTTATTTATTTTTAAGAAAATGGTGCAATGCTCATATTTGGCTAATATGTAATTTTCAGATATGTTACAGTTTTATCACACACAAGCCAAACCCCACATGGGAAGTATAGGTCTAACCACATGCGCAGGATGTGAGCCATGCATTCCCACATTTATTAATATTCCCCTCCTCTCCCTCCTCTCCAGTCCATGCCTTCGATGGGCCCGGAGAAGCCCGCGTTGTGTGCCGGCTGTGGAGGCAAAATCTCGGATAGATATTACTTACTCGCCGTGGACAAACAGTGGCACCTGCGGTGCCTCAAATGCTGTGAATGTAAACAGCATTTGGAGTCAGAGCTCACGTGTTTTGCCAAGGATGGCAGCATCTACTGCAAGGATGATTACTACAGGTAAGAAAGCATAAGGTTATGAATTGTTGTTTTTCTATAGGCCTAGTGAAATTATTGATTTTTATATTTAATACACACACACTCTCTTCCCCTCTCTCTCTCTCTCTCTCTCTCTCTCTCTCTCTCTCTCTCTCTCTCTCTCTCTCTCGCTGTCTCTGTGTGTTCGGCATTAGGCCTGTCATACAAACTATTGATAATGTCTGAAACAATAGACCTATAACACAAATACAGGCTACAGAAAATTTGAAATAGGCTATAGGTTAAATGTACGTACAGAAAGCTTATTGGTTCGATCAGCTATAGCTTTGGCATATTCAACAGGTTATAAAAGGAAGCCCCCATATACTGAATCTACTACATGGAAATAGAAATAGCTGTAATAGCCAAGCAGCCTAAATATCAGAGGAAATCGGTCGTCTCTTGGCCATGCTGCAAATCCGAGGTGTTATTATAGACCTGCCAACCTTTGCCCAAAACTGCGGATGGAGGTTATGACATTATAAGCAAACTGCTGAATAAAAACAACCTAAGAACATGGAGGTGTATTTTATGTAGCCACTCCTCGCAGTGTGTGTGTGTTCCATTTTTTCAATCCTGTTTGGAGTGTTTTAGAAGTGTAATGTCTGCGCGTGTTTTTAAAGAATTGCGTCCTTGTTCCAGAAGGTTCTCAGTGCAGAGGTGTGCGCGCTGCCACCTCGGGATATCGGCATCGGAGATGGTGATGCGTGCACGGGACTCCGTGTACCACCTGAGTTGCTTCACGTGCACCACGTGCAACAAGACCCTGACCACCGGCGACCACTTCGGCATGAAGGACAGCCTGGTGTACTGCCGGGTCCACTTCGAGACCATAGCCCATGGAGAGTACCCCCACCCCGGCCTCAACTACTCCGAGCTGGCGGCTAAAGGCGGAGGTCTGGCGCTGCCTTACTTCAATGGCACTGGGACAGCTCAGAAGGGAAGGCCTCGCAAGAGGAAGAGCCCCGCCATGGGCATAGACATCGCCAGCTACAACTCAGGTGAGGAGACGGAGAGGAAAGGAGTTGCTGCTTGGGGAGTTGTATGGGGGATTGATGCTATTGCACTGTTTGAAAAGAACGTTTCGGTGGGGATGTTTTGGTTAAGGCCAAAAACCTGTTGTTAGGCTACATGCTAACTAACCAGCCCATGACGCGCGCTGGTGAACTGAACAGAAAAGAGAATGTCGAATATGGAGATTTCATTAATTATTTGGCTTGATCCGTGTTTAAGGGCATAGGCCTCATCTCCGTAGGCCTACACCAAATGCAATTTTAACCAAAAAAGGGGGGACAAGAAAGAGAACAATTAGCCATTTCACACATTTGAAGATGCCTGCTATCAATGTGTGCTCTGTTCACGAAGTAGCCTATTTGCAATTATCCTCTTTAGGCTAAATTGCATGTTGTCAAAATGATAAAAAATTTACCCCCAGTTAACCATTAGATTGACTTTTATAGCCTAATTATGGTCATCGAATTTGTCAAATGGGTACACACATGAACTTGAACCAGTGACCTACGAACGTGCAGGGGGTAAAAGTAATTTGGGCTCATGTACTTAAAATGTCGCCTTTCGTCTTTCTTGGGGGAAATTGCCTCCTCGTTATACATTACAGGTAATTTTACATTTAAAAACTGCCATTGAAAACGTGAATGTTATAATCCAACCAACTCCGCAGCGTCTCTTTTGTTGTCGCTTTTTACAATTAGTTTCCGGTTGAGAAAGTTTGTCACTGTGTGCCAAATTTGCTCTGTTCTCCTTGAATGGAGAGGAATAAGGGTAATCTGCGTGTTAAATAATTGTTCTGCGTTAATTGAAGGTGACGTAGGAATCCCTGGCTTCCAACCATTGAATCAAACTCGGAAGGTCAGCACAGTTCTCAGAAACAGAGTGAGTGAGATGGAGCAGGGATACAAAAATTAACAAAACAAAAAAAATCATTACATACTCTCCAGTATCTACAGAAAAATTACTTTCAATTGTTTTATAGACATCATGCGAGGCTTTTGTTATGTCCTCTAATAGGGCCTATGCCAAGCCTAATATGTTATGTTTCTTGGGCTACTGTATTTTGCTTTAATAGCGACAAGGGTGATAATGGATCTATTCTAAAGACTATTCCATTTTCAGAAACATGCCCATATGCCCCATTACAATATTGGGTTTCTGTTTTGTATTTATGTTCAGCTGTAGATGTTGTGCTCTTTCCATCTTTAAAGCACTTTTGGTTGCACTACAAAGAAATACGATTGGATTTAACTCTGAACTAAATCCTGCTTTTGTCTATAGCATTCCAAAAACATTCCATTAGGCATATTCAGAAATTGCCTTTATTTCACAGTCAGTTTCGGGCAAAAACGTTGATATTGTCTATATCTGGCTTAATGTTTAGGTTCCATCGCCTCTATATGCCTATAGCCTACGTCTTTAGATAATTATTCCATGCAGTCATTCCCATGTCGACCTTGCAGTTGGTATACCTACTCAGCATGATTTCTTAGCGACCCCTGGTGGGTAGTTGTAGAAAGAAAGGCACTCTGCAAGCAACCATAGCTGAGGAAAATGGGATACCCAAGATTTAAAGATTGAGGTGTTATTTTATTGCAGTGCTTGGCTAACATGAATTAAGATGCATATCTGACATCTGAAAATAAGTGTTTCAAGTTACAAGTTAGTGATGGAATATGAGTAGTAGTCCTGGACTATGGCCAAGATTCATTTGAAAAATAAATAGATTCTGTAGCCCAGAGATATTTAATCTGTGTTCATGTTTAGTTCTGGATCAACTAAACCAGAATTAGGCCTACTCCTGGATCAATCTAGTTTGGTTCTGTGAAACCGGCACTAAAGTCTGTCATTTAACCTGTGATTTGTATTTGCAGGGGGCGGAAATATCAAGATAGGTGTCTTGAATATATTAACAGCCTGCTATAGGCTTTGTTCTCATTTATTGTCAAAGATTTAGAGATGACCACTTTAGGTAATAGGCCTATAGTAGAATGAGTAAAGTCTGTCATAGGAATATGCTTTAAACATGTCTGCTGGATGTCTTGAAAATAATTGTCGTTTGATCATAGAATAACAATCAATTATTTTTAATATTTTCCCATAAACATAGGACAGAATATTAGTATGGTGCATATTGGAAGTAGAGATTACATTTTAATCTCAATACATTATTGCTTTCTTTAAGCACAGAGTAGAAATGCTAGACCAAATTGAGGACTGATCAACTCCAACTGTACATTTATTTTATTACCCCTTTTTCATGATATTCAATTGGTAGTTACAGTCTTGTCCCATTGCTGCAACTCCCCTACGGACTCGGGAGAGGTGAAGGTCAAGAGCCATGCGTCCTCCGAAACACGACCCTGCCAAGCCGCGCCTTGACACACTGCTCGCTTAACCCGGAAGCCAGCCGCACCAATGTGTCGGAGGAAACACCGTCCAACTGGCGACCGAAGTCAGCTTGCAGGTGCCTGGCCCGCCACAAGGAGTCGCTAGAGTACGATGGGACAAGGAAATCCCGGACGGCCTAACCCTCCCCTAACCCGGACGACACTGGGCCAATTGTGCGCCGCCTCATGCGTCTCTCGGTCACGGCTGGCTGTGACACAGCCTGGGATCGAACCCGGGGCTGTAGTGACGCCTCAAGCACTGCGATGCAGTGCCTTAGACCGCTGCGCCGCTCGGGAGGCTGCTTTACATACTTTCTAAGGGGTTTGGGTCCGTTACATTTTTAATAATTTATGTACGATTCAATTAAATATTTTATTCAATCTTAACTGAAAATGATGGCCAGGTTATGGCCATTTTATGCCTTTCATTTCTGTTCAGTGGAATCGGGAGTCATCATAACCTATTCATAACCCTGATCAGGATGTGTTGTATCTTTCTATAACTAACAACCTTGATTTTGGGAGTGCTGTCCATGTTGTCATCATGGGATTATATTTACGAGGATCCAGCAGCACCCCACTTTTTGTTTGAAGAATTATACTGCAATGCACACTTTACCACAGTATATCTGTTCTAACCTTGCGCCTCCTCCTTCTCCTCCTCTTGGTCAGGTTGTAATGAGAACGATGGAGACCACCTGGACCGTGACCAGGCCTACCCTCCCTCCCAGAAGACCAAGCGCATGCGCACCTCCTTCAAGCACCACCAACTCCGCACCATGAAGTCCTACTTTGCTATCAACCACAACCCCGACGCCAAGGACCTCAAACAGCTTGCCCAGAAGACAGGCCTCACCAAAAGAGTTCTACAGGTAAGCAGCAGCCTTCGCCCTCCTTCCTGACCTCTGACCTAGTATGACATCATCACTCTATATCCTCCATTCCATTGTCTGTTCTCACATTTGACCATCAGTTCCATTCAACTCATCTTTTTTGGTTTGTTTGGTTTTATTACATTTTTTTCATTGGTTTTCTACCGATGTTGTATGGAATGTTGTTAGGTACCAGGTTCCTTGATGTACTGTATGAAGGAGATGTATGGTATTTGTAGTGTTCAGGGTTTCTAGACATATAATTCATCCACTTATCACTCCCAATCTCCCTGGGTCAGTGGTGGCAAGAGTAATTTAAGAGAGAGTGCACAAGTCTGTAAGGATCTTTTACAAAATAAAAAAACTTTCAGCTGGTCATTTCTCATTTGGTTTCTACTCCCTGAGCCCAAAATAATGGCGTCAAAATCAACAGTTTGTAGCTATTGTACTTTACTCTTTCTACTCTACGGGGAGAGTCAGGTAGTGGACAACACTGTGATGTCAAACAGATACAGAACAATTGCATTTTATTAGAATGAAAGAAAAGAGACAAAGAAAAGAAGGTAATACATTAGACATAAACATAAAGTAAAAGCCATTGGATTGGATTGGTTTGCAGGTATGGTTCCAAAACGCAAGAGCCAAATTCAGAAGGAACGTTTTGCGACAGGAGAATGGTAATGACAAGGCCGACGGCACGTCACTCCCGCCGCCCTCGTCCGACAGCGGCGCTCTGACGCCCCCCTCCAGCGCGGCCACACTAACAGACCTGACCAATCCCTCTATCACTGTAGTGACCTCCGTCACATCTAGTTTGGACAGCCATGATTCGGGGAGCCCCTCACAGACTACCTTGACAAACCTTTTCTAGCAAGCTCTACGACTCTAAGCTCTTAACACATTTTTGTTTTTTTCCCTAATTTGCATTTACATTTTTTAAACAACACCTTAAAAGAAAACAGAGACAGTTCTGTGGATACAGGAAGTACTGTACTGTACTGTACTGTACACAACAAAAAACAACAAGAACAACAAGAACAACTACAGCAACATTTAAACAGGAGGAAATTATGTTGATGTGTAGCATTTGCAACCACTTGGCAGCTGTTTGTAGTCAACGTATTTAGTGATTGGTTTTGTCGAGAGGACGTTTTGAATCTGGACGGCATTGAACAATTATGAAGAGGGTTCAACAATCTTGGACCGAGCCCAAATGGAACTATTTAAATGGGAAAAGTATATTATTTTTACTTTATTTTATTTCAGTTTGATTGAGTCTAAATTTATCCGTCCCTGATAATTAATGTATTATTTACTGATCAATTCATTTCAAATCATTAATATTTTGCCCTAGAAATGTGTATGTATGCACGAAATCGTTGAAATATACATTTGCAGAATACGCTGTAAAATATAATTCAGAGTTATCCTGGATGTTACAAGACATTGGATTATTTTATAGATTAGTAATTTTAATCTCTAAATTGCATTGTATACATTACAAGAACCCAAACAATACAACTCAAATGCCAGGTGGCTGCTGTGACCTCAACATGCATTTTGTCTTGACATGATGCACCTCAACTGTGAAAAAAATCAAATAACAATGGAACAAATCTATCGATCTGTACAGTGGTAACTGTCCAATATGTAATGCAGTAACATTGATATTAGAAAGAGTTCAACAATAGAACTAAGTAAGTGAAATTCTGATTGGGACACAGTTTAATGGGTAGTTTATCTGGATTCAACGTGCCCGTAGAATTACTGTTAAATACAATACACTGCCCATCATTTTGCTCAGGGTAAAGAAGGGTTGATTTAAAAAATAAATTAAAAAAAATGTGAGGAGAGGAAGATGAAAGAAAAGTGAGAGATGACGATGTGGCAGATTAGAGGTGTAGAGCTGACAGAAACTTTACAATGACCTCAGAAACCTGGAGATTGTAGAAAACATGCAGCCAGCGGGACAAATAAATCATCCTCCACATGATCACGTTTGGCCATATTTGTACTTTCTTTACGGACACTTGCCACTGATCAGACCAAAAACATTTCCTCTCGATGAATTAAGAGAAAGAAAGAGAAGCAGTCCTTCTGCAGGGTTACAACATTTTAAATGTGTATTTTTTTGTCTTCTGGCCCAGCTGTTTAAGGTCTTTGGCGTCAGGGTTGTGGTTGATAGCAAAGCAGGATTACATGGTGCAGATTAAGAGAAAGAATAGGAGGTCTTGCTGCTGGGTTAAAACATTTTATTGTAATTGTCACAATTTGTTCTATTGTAGAACAAAGCGTTACTCTCAATCTACTTCATGAAGTAGATGCCTAACTCAGTTCTACTATGTGCCTTATGCTATAACTTGGAAGAAAGTTTGTGAACTTCAGGATTATATGTATTGTTTGTTAACTGATTCACATACTTGTGACGCCTCACTAGTTTTGTACTGTTTTGCATCTTATTTCTGAAGATCTTTTTATGGTGTATCCTGTTAAAAGGGGCCAGCGATGTCATAGAAAGCGCTTGTGCACTCTTTCAGATATAGTTGGTTAATCCAAGAATCGTATAAATTGATTTTCGTGTTAATAGTTCAGTACAGTAAGTGTTCTATCAAGATTGTCCATGTTTCCCTGTTTCTTGATAAAGATGGTGTATAGAAACGATTTCCCCTTAAATATTTATGGACCAAACGGTTGTTATATATCTTATTAAATTTGTGTGAATAAAAATACTTTGCTTTAAATGAGTTTTATTTTTCATTACACTTACCATTTTTGTGTTGTTCCTTAGATACTATGTTTTATTTTTTACTCACATCAACAAATGAAAAAGCATTCAATGATTGATTGACCAATTAAAACAAACGTTCCACATTTTTACTTTTATTTTAATTTCCTATTTTATGGTGTTTACAGTTTTAAAGTAATGCCCCATGGATTTGCACCTAAACCAAGTAGTCAAAAATTATGAAAATTGCTTTTTAGTGCATGAATATGGCTATAACTTTTTAAAATGGAAAGAGGAATGCTGCAAAGCACACATTGATTGATATATCTATGTAGAGCTAAAATGAAATAAGAGTAAATGCAGACCCATAAAGCCAGGTTGCTCTGTAGTTAATATATTGTTACTCTATGATTTCTTTCAGGGAGAACAAATCTTGGGGCATTACAGCCAAACTTCCCGACGTTTGAAAATTCCCTAAAGTATTAAGAGAAGGGGAATTCCTCACCATTGAAGACAAAGACAATATTAGGATAAGACAATAGAATATTGAGAGAAAAATTTACATAAACAAAAACATGTTTTAGTCCAAAACAACAAAATAAATATTTTAAACGTTTTTCCTGAACGTTTGAATCCAACTATGGAGGAGAATACAGTATGTGATTACTGATATCATTATGAAAAAAGATGACTTTGCTCTTTGTATTGGAATGCCATTCACACACAGTGAAATAAGTTGTATAGGAACATAGTTGTATATAGCAGAGCAGCTTGGCAGCACAGGGGCTAGAGTGGGATTAAAATACAGCAGACATTAAACAACACTACAGGACACACACACACACACAGACACACACACACACACACACTCCCCTCCCTTACCCCACACACTCCCACCCCTACCCTCTACAGAATCAGCTTACTATATATAAAAAAAAAAGTTATTTTGTCACAAATGTCATTTTGTAAACACATGACCTCCTTGAAACTTGGCAGCAGGACGCCCATCAAACAGGGGCTGATGAAGAGGACTGCAGAATTGGCGCTTTACTAAGGAAAAGAGGAAGCAACACAAAAAAAAGATGAAAAAAGATTCCCATTTTGCACCTCAACATCTTGTTAACATTATCCTTGAGATGTATTTTAATATTTTGTTTGATGCATTGTATTTGGATCATTCATTGTCAGCTGTGAAATAAACCCTATGAAAATCCTGTCCCTGATCCTGATGATGCCCACATACCTTACGGTGGAAAATGAAATGTCATTGTGAGGACATGGATGGATTGTAATGCTTGAAGCGTATTTATGCATGTACATGACATTCAGCTAACTAAGGACAATATTAACAATACATTTATTATTATCTGATTTCAATATTGTGGTTATTCTTGGGTTCTTGGCTACTATGCAGTATTACTTTCAAATACACAACCAGCACATGGTATTCCTAAGTGTGTGATTACTGATAATAGATTACATTAATTAGATATGGAATTCAAGCTATTTACAATCTGTTTTCTGTTCAATTACATTTTATAAGTTCTGGATAGAGTCCATTCAGACTCCTGACAAATGTGGGCAGTACATTTCATTCTAGAGATAAACAACATCATTATATTTGACTACCCGCGTCTCACAAATCACAATGCGTGTAGGACTTTAGCAGCAACATGATCCCACTGCCTTGCCCTGGTTCCTTCAGTGCGGTGTACTTACTGTACGATGAATGCTGCATATCCATGTTAGGAAGGAGGGAGACAGAGGGGAGCAGAGGGCCGGGATTGGAGGGAGGGAAGGCGGGAGGGAGGGGAACGGTGGTGCCACATGGGGCCTAGTAAACAGCTCGCTGTTGAATTCCAACTACGTGGGAAACAGCAAACGCTACAGAGAAGTCCAAGCATAAACCTCACTCACTGGGGTGCCGGCCGTGCTGTTTTTCCTGGCCTGGGCGGTGGACGGTTTACACTAGCGAGCAGCAGGAAGTGGAATTGCAACATAACACAAACAAACAGTGTCGGCCATCTTGGATTCAGGAGATTCTGGACATCATCATAGCATCCTGCTGACTGACAAGAATGTGAAGGGATGGAGGTTGGTGACCGGAATGCTTCTTATGGTAACAATTAGTGTGTCTTGTGTGTGTGGTTTGTGCCTGTGTGTGTAGTGTTTGACAAGTAAAAGACAAGTTCAGATGTTGACTAGTCGTGTGAAAGGTATGTGGTTTGTAGAATGCCTCCGATTATAATGGAGCATTGCACAGACTGCAGGTGAGTCTTAAATACTGGGAGATACCATTGTACAATTAAATGCATTTTCCAGTTCAGTCTTAAATATGCTTTGTAATTTTATTTCATTCTATTTTCGGACTATTAAACATTTTGCGTGGGATAAAATCCCCAAATCCCTTCAGGTGAATCACCTTGTTTCTAAAGGGGTTTCCATAGGGATCCCGAAACACTACTTCCCCAATTATATTTCACTATACACTGTATACACTATATATACAAAAGTATGTGGACACCCCTTCAAATTAGTGGATTCGGCTATTTCAGCCACACCCGTTGCTGACAGGTAAATTAAAATCGAGCACAAAGCCATGCAATCTCCATTGGTAAACATATTCAGTAGAATGGCCTTACTGAAGAGCTCAGTGACTTTCAACTTGACACCGTCATAGGATACCACCTTTCCAACAAGTCAGTTCTTCAAATGTCTGCCCTGATAGACCTGCCCCGGTCAACTGTAAGTGCTGTTATTGTGAAGTGGAAAAGTTTAGAAGCAACAACGGCTCTGCCGCGAAGTGGTAGGCCACACAAGCTCACAGAACGGGACCGCCGAGTGCTGAAGCGCTTAGCGCATTAAAATCGTCTGTCCTCGGTTGCAACACTCACTACCGAGTTCCAAACTGCCTCTGGAAGCAACGTCAGCACAATAACTGTTCGTCGGGAGCTTCATGAAATGGGTTTCCATGGCTGAGCAGCCGCACACAAGCCTATGATCACCATGCGCAATGCCAAACGTCAGCTGGATGGTGTAAAGCTCACCGCCATTGGACTTTGGAGCAGTGGAAACGCATTCTCTGGAGTGATGAATCATGCTTTACCATCTGGCAGTCCGACTGACAAATCTGGGTTTGGCGGATGCCAGGAGAACACTACCTGCCAAATGCATAGTGCCAACTGTAAAGTTTGGTGGAGGAGGAATAATGGTCTGGGGCTGTTTTTCATGGTTCGGGCTAGGCCCCTTAGTTCCAGTGAAGGGAAATCTTAACACTACAACAT